TGGACGCCCCGTCAGGTAACCGTTGCGCAGGTTACAGTCCCGCAAGCACCGTACTGTGGACGCCCCCGTAAGGTACGTTCCGCAGGCACGCGCACTGCGACGCCCCTGTCAGGTTACAGTTGCGCAGGTTACAGTCCCGCAGGCACACGCTTCTTGGGACGCCAACCGTAAGGTTTACAGTTGCGCAAGTACAGTCTCCACAGGCACGCGGTACTGTGGACGCCCCCGTAAGGTTACAGTTGCCGCAGGTTATCGTCCTGCAGGCCACGCGTACTTACTGGACGCCCCCCGTCCAGGTGAACCGGACACGCGGGTACACAAGCACCTTGGATGGCCCCCGTCAGGATACAAATGCCACAGACACGAACCAGTGGACGCCCCCGTACTCAGGTTTACAGACGCGCAGGACACGAAGCATGTGGACGCCCCGTCAAGGTTACAGCGTTGCGGAACCAAGAGTACTGAGGACTGGTTTCCGCCAGGTTATAGTTCCGCGGACACGAGTACTGCGGATTGTTCGCTGCGGTTTGTCTATTTTGCAAACGACATTCAATGCATTTAGGACATGACGAGTGAGACTTATCGGTCAGTCCCCCCTTGGAAATTCCACCTAACCTATATGTAAGTGGCGCAGAGTTGTGTGGCGTGTCTTCTCCCATTTCCTAAGGCCGGCGAACGCCACGTAATACTAGCCGCTTTGATGTCATATTGTCTATCATTCATGAAACTGTGGCTGCTGGCATCACTACTTCTGCTTCAAAAAACTAATTCCCGAGACTAGAGATGGCATTGCGAGCTTGAACACACTTGGCAATAACTTAGCGTAAACCTATTAATGCCGCAAAACAACATGAAACATGATCAGCAAACGTAAAAGCGATCGATGGATGTTGGACCGGATGACATCCGCCGTGTAACGTTTAGTACGGACTACGGGAGTAAGGCAAGACGGTTATGTTCACGTTGCACATCTGGTTTTGCACCTGTCTTGAGTTCGTCGTCACGTGGTAGATGCCACAGACTTCGGCGACAGGACATGATTAACGGAAACTATCGGTACTTTCCCAACCAGTCACTAAACGTTCCTGTTGATCATGTCTGCGGTGCAAGCGGGTCACATCTACCACCTGACGAACCCGAGACAGGCTCGAGACCAGGTGTGCGATATACGCATAACCATTTTTCCTCAGCCATAAATACTAATGATCAAAAGCTTAGTATGTGACGGTATGAAGTATGAACTTATGTCTGCGGTGCAAGCGGGTCACATCTACCACCTGACGAACCCGAGACAGGCTCGAGACCAGGTGTGTGCGATATACGCATAACCATTTTTCCTTCCTCAGCCATAAATACTAATGATCAAAAGCTTAGTATGTGACGGTATGAAGTATGACTTCAAAACGACAAAATGTAGCACATGTCTGGCTTTATGGTAGTGGGAGTTGAAGATAAATACATCCCGTTTCTGTGGACGAACCAATGGTGCCACTGGTGCTCAGATTACAGCTGTGCTGGAAGGCGGTCTTGACAACACTCCGCTTAAACCCGCCGAGTCGGAGCAATTTGTTCTCATGGCACTGCCCGCTTTGAGAATAAATCAAATTACGCAGCGCCACCAGGCATACATCATTCTGGCCTACATTCGCCCGGGCAAAGCACATCAATGCCTCTGAAGATCCATTGGCATTAGTCGATGCAAAAAATGGCCTTCAATCACCTATATCCGTCCTAACGCCAGTGGCGTAACCCATTTAAGCCTCCCGCACAATCCACAACACAAAGTAGAACATTGGAACCGGATGTTGATATACCTCTAGGATAGCCATTTACGAAGTGTCACAGTCGCTACCCACCGCCGTTACCTCCAAACCCAGCGGAACAAGCACCGCCGGCGATCGTCGGCAGCCGCTCGTCTCGCGCCCCGGGCGGGGACCCGGCCCTCGGCGCGCCCGGTCCCACCTTAAAGTTGATGTTCCTGAGATCGAGCTTGGAGAGGTCGGCGCCAGTGAAGTTGACGCCCTGGAAGCGGAGGCTGGCCTGGCTGGGCGTCACCAGCAGGGCACGCACCACCTCTCGGCGCGAAAGCGGCGCGTCGGCGGCGACCGGCGGCGCGGCCGCCGCCAGCGCCTCCAGCCGGCCCAGCAGCGACTCCACCCCGAAGAAGCGCGCCTCCTCCAGCACACCTGGCCACAGACGGCGCGCTCAGCCACAGATTCTGACAAGGCTTACGACACCTGGGCGTGAGAGGGCGCACAGTGGCGCAGCGGCACGCCAAGGGCAGCTCACTCAGGCCGTGTTGCAGTCTCGGCGACGCCGACACCTAGTACAGGCATACACACGCACACGCTGCGTGGTAGTTGCTTCGCAAATAGACTGACGCTTGTGTCCGGGCCGTTCGGCAGTATCGGTGGCACGCCCCGTCCGCCCCTCTAGCGTTAGGTCTGTGCCAGGTGCCCGGCGCCGGCGGAACCGCGCCGGGCGCGCCCCGTACCGGCCGGGTTGACACCCTCGTCCAGCACCAGTTGCCGCGTGCGCAGGTAGTGCAGGATCGGCTCGAAGTAGGTGGGGCTGCGGTCGATCAGGTAGGCGCCCGAGCTGTCCCGGTCACCGGGACGCAAGCCCTCAGGGTCGCCGCCGAACATCCTGCAGCGACACGGTCGGAAGGCATCACAGCGGCACACGCACCTTGAGACGGTAGCGTTGCCAGTACAGCCAGATTTGCAGCCTAGGCGGAGACACGCGGGGGCGATCATGAGGAGGCATTAGGCTCGGCTATCTGTCCGTGTGCGCTGTCATTCATACTATGCGGGGCGAGCTGAGCACGCAGTCAACGCCCAAGTTGAGACCGAATATTGCTTGACACTGTGGCCTGGCGTCCCCGCCAATCAATACCGCTCGTCGCCATGCCCTGGTGTCCCAAACCGCCAAATCCCCCCCCCCCCCCCCCCCCCCCTCCCCGGACACCACGCATTGGTGCCCCACATACACGTCAACATACCCTAACGTTTAGGTGAGAGTAACACCATGCGTCAGCATGCCGTTCTGTGCCAATCAGCACGCCACCATGTGATAGCATCGCTTGGCCGCATAGTCGTCGAATAGCGTTAGACGACGTGCTCTAAATATTCTGTGAGAATGCCTTCCGAGTCTTGGTCAGCTAAATGTCGTCTGCCACTGTCAAATGGAGTCTGTCCCGGTCTTTCAGTGGGATAAACAGTATCTGCCAGCAGGTCTGCTATCTCAATGAGGTAAGCCTGTCTGTCTGCATGCGATGTTTCATCCCGCTAAATACCGTCCATTACCAAGCCCTGGTCTTGGCCAACCAAACATCAGAATTTTCCACCACTCGACCTGGTGGAAAATTCTGTTAAATATCAACAGCCGGATCCCCTAGAAGTATCCCTCAGCTCACACCGTCCGCTGGCATGACCTACCGCCTCAGTCCACCCAAGATCATCTCTCATGATGCCTTCATATTGCCATCAGCTCAACACTTCCAGTCAGCAAGTCCCCGACTATCAGTCAGCCAAACGCCACCAGACGAATCACCCTGTTATCGGTGTGGGGGCCTACCTGGCCAGCATCGAGTTCGGCTCGACGCCAGTGAGCGTGGTGACACTGGTGGTGAACAGGCGGCCGCCCACGTTCAGCGTCACCCACTCAGTGGTGCCACTGTCGGAGCACCCGCTCCGGACACCAGCGGCGCCGCCAGCAGCGAGGGATGGCGCAGCACGGGAAAACGGCTCACCCTCGGCAGCCGCCAGCAGTATGTCACCATCCCTGCAACATCAGTTGTCACCTGGGTGCTGTGCACAGCAAGCCCATCATATATGCTTCTGGCTAAGATATACCATTAAATGCTGTTCAGCTAAAAATATTACCAATCCAGTCATGACCTTATGATGGCAAACACCACTGCACACCACCTGTTTGAGCATTATATGACAAAACATAATTTTTACCTTATGATGTCTGGATCACTAATGAGACCTCCTTGCTCATTAAACAGTGCTCCAACAGCAAACCCAAGCTTGGATGATGCTACTGACATCAGGTCACTCAGGGAGTTCCTAAACAGAAGGGCCTGAAACATGCAGAATATTAAACCCAAACTGCATTGAAAAGAATGCAACTGCATGCCAGAGATGGCATTACAACAGTCCACACCAGATGAGCATGATGTAACTGGATGGTGCCCATGAATGTCTGCATTTATCTATAATACTGCATCATTACAATATGCTTTCAGCAATGCAAAATTTTCATAAATGCTATCATAGTTAGATGCTTACATGAATGCAATGGTACATCCATGCCCTAAAAATGACATCAAACATTGAGCACTTGAATCATCCCATTCAGTCAGCACATACATGATCAAAGAAAAGAGAACATGACATCAGTGTCTTGCAAGCTAGGCAGTGGAAATCAGACAAACCCAGTCAGCAGCCTGGTCAGAATTGAATACAGCCAAAATTGTTTCTGCAGAAATGTGGTAGCAATAACCACTCAGGGGTGCACCTTCCCATCACTTTGAAGAGGCTCCAACTCCTCTGCCAGCTTTAAGAAGTGGACAGATTTGGAGGGAATCTTTCTTTGGGAAAATTATATGGCATCCTTCACAATCTTTCACTGCACAGCCAACCCAAACTTATTTTATGAAACTACACCCCTGTAACCTAACACCCACCCATGAAGCCTGACCTTTATGCAAGGTAGGAGCCTTTAATACAGCCCAAAAGGAGACAGGTTTCATAAAAGATTCAAAAGAACTTACATGACCACAGCCGGCACAGCCATTCCGAAAAACTGACACTCTTAATGGTGCTGTCATGCTGATGTGATAACCAGTTACCTAACTACTACTCTACTCCAGTCTGCCTCAGTGTTTGACAACGCCACATGTGCCTGCATCGCTTCGTTTTTTATTTGATTCCCAGCCACTGAACAGAAGCAGGCAGTCCAACGCCCACCAACCCAGTTGCCTGACCCCTTCAACCTCCCCCACCCATCGACAATCCTCTACAAGCGACCGGGGAAGCCGTCTTCTCCCGGTTCCATAAGGCTGCTATTATGGTTTTGTTTATTATCGCAATCAAGTAAGTTGATCAGGTATTGACCCTAGATAATATGACGTATATTTTAATTCAGTCATAATTTTTTGGTTCTAAAATTTTATATTTTGGTTAAAACAACAGACATTTTATTTAAATAAAGTTACATTTGCTATTTTCTCTTAGATTATAGTCTGCATCATCTTCTACAATAAGAATGTCAGAATATTCTAAGTATGTGGTGCTAATGCACCACAGGAATCGTAAGTGCCGCTAGAGAGCTACCCCAAAGTCCCAGTACTACACAGCGTGGGAATGTGAGCGTGCAGGTGTAATACAAACGATGATAAAAAAGGATAGATAAGTTCACTATGCATGCAGAGTATTTCCTTTGATGTTTTGCTGCGTGGGGGTTCTCCTTGCTGCTATGTTTTTTATGTTTGAGACGGAGACGCGGTGGCATACTGGGCTGGAGTTTTGATTTACAATTTTCTGCACGATTTTTCCAGGATAAATATTTTGGGACCATTTTGGTCCCAATTTTTCATTGAAACATGCAATTCCTTGAGACCTAGGCACTCAGCTTGCTGAAAGGGGTACAAAATGCTTGCCAAATGTAGAGTTTGGAGTCACACTGCATGTGCATGGAAGTTGTTGCTGCAATGTTACTGTCACATGCTTAGGGCAGCATATTTCTTTCAGTCTGGCCCATAGATGCCATTTTATAATTAATGCAACCTATATGTATTTCTGTGCAAACATTTACAGCCATATAGTACATGACTGGGTTGAAACCTGACCAACTTTATATCTCACAATATCACTATGTCAACTGCTTGCTTTAATACAAGACTGATATGCAAGCCAATGTTTTACCAGGGTTTATTTGTTGGCCAATGCAAGACCTCTTGTTATTCCACTGACAGGCCTAGAATCACTTCTGAGGGAGGTGGGGGGGAGGAGATTATGAGGGTGTGCCTTTGATTACTGTCTGTATTATTGCAGTTAGTCTACAGAATGTCATCCACCCCACTCTCTCATACTCCGGATGAGCCCCTGAGTCCAGTGGACAGCAATGAGGGCGAGGATCTGGGACCACCACAGGGTGATGCGTTCCTGAGGCATATTTCAACAAAGGTGAGCATGTCAGAAATCAGGCACTTTGGGGCTGCTGGCCAAGTGTGCAACAGTTGCAAACATGGCTGCTGACAGTTTAGATAGGCAAGTATGCATGAATATCTGGTACCATGCACCAGCTGCCTATCTTCAACATATGCTCTTTGTTTTGTGTACATGGATATATTCACTGTGGCTTCACTGTGGTTATGGCCATGGTGCCGCAGAGTCATTTACATGTCCAATAACATACTAACTGCCCAAACTATGTTTAAGTTCCATGAACTGAATTTGTACTGGAAATTTCATCATTGTTCTCATGCCTCTTTTGATTCTATGGTACCTTCACTTTTGATTTTTTGTAGACATGCACTTCCAGTGTGAAAACAGAGAAGTAAGAGGTCACAAGGTATGTCAATATGTGCAGTTTCACACCTCCACAAAAGAACCTGTTCAAATCATATCCATACTCTCATCATGCTGTATGTCCCAGCTGGTCAGTGACCATTCTGCAGTGTCTCACTAGCTCAGGGCATCTGGCTGCTGCTCCCCATGTACACATGCTCACATCTCTGTTCTGTGCACCACCACCTCCACCCAGCATCTGACTGTGCCTGTCTGTCACCGTCACCAGACTCGTCAGACACACTGTGTGTCACTGGACCACCTGTACACCCGGCCGTGGAGCTGGCGCTCCGACGGGGTGCACGTGCAGCACCAGACCCGTCTGGTGCTGGTCAACCCCCCGGCACAGAGTGGACGTCAGCTGTGAGTGCTCTTTGCTGCTGCCCCTGCCAGCCAGATCAGTCCTCTAGAATGGGGCGACCAGTGACATGGTGACAAATGGCATCCAAATAAAACTACATAGACCCATGTCACCCACTAGAAGCTTTGGCTAGCTCAGCCCAGACTTCACTGCATAGTATTGTGGATGGGACTTAACTGACAAGCTTTCTGCTTCATGATGATCTAATATGATGTTTTACAGCAGACACAGTGAACCTATTTCACACAAATCGCCTGTCATGTTGTCTCTTGCACTGTCTTACAGTGCTCCTGACACGGTGAGATTGCCCCTGTGTGCCCCTGCCCCATAGCATGTGTGATGATGGGTGCTGGCTTGTGGCCTGACCCCGCCAGTGACATGATCCCGCTAGTGACGTGACCCCGCTAATTACCTGATCTGCTGGTGACCTGGCCTTGTTGATGACTTGACCTCTCCAGTGACAACTTATCTGGTGACCTGACCCACTGGTGACCTGACCCTGTTGGTGACTTGATCCTGTTGGTGTGGCCACCTGATCCTGCGGGTGACCTGATCTGGCTGGTGACCTGAGTCTGCTGGTGACTTGATCCTGCTGGCGACCTGAGCCCATTGGCCACCTGATCCTGCTGGTGACCCGACCCTGTTGGTGACATGGCCCCGCTGGTGACATGACCCCACTGGTGACCTGACCGTGCTGATGGCCTGACCCCGCCCCATCCACAGCTGCAGCTCGCCGGTGGACGTGGAGTCGGTGGACGAGGCGGAGACGCTGACGGCCGCCGATGAGCGGGCGGCGCGCGCCGCCATGGACGAGTGTCAGGAGCACGTGGCCAACGCGCGCGACGTGCCCGATGACCTGATCGAACAGCTGGACCAGTGAGACTCCCCGGGGGCAGGGAGGGGCCAGGAGTGATCGAACAGCTGGACCAGTGAGACTCCCCGGGGGCGGGGAGGGGCCAGGGGTGATCGAACAGCTGGACCAGTGAGACTCCCCGTGGGCGGGGAGGGGCCAGGAGTGATTGAACAGCTGGACCAGTGAGACTCCCCGGGGGCGGGGAGGGGCCCGCAGCCGGTGGGAACCACTAGCCGACCACTTCCTCCCCCCCCCCCGCCCTTCCGCTGCTGATGGCAGCTAAGAAGATGGATGTTAATTCCCATCATAACAAGATGACATGAACTGATGAGATACACATATGTGACCTCACGTTTGGAGGCGGATGGGTTTTTAATGGAGCTTAACAGAGGTCTGTAGCATGGGGGAGGGGTGACAACGTAACGTTATTTCAGGTGTAGCTTCAAATCATGTTATAGTTTTTTCAATGCTCGGAAACCAGAAAGCCAGGTTCCGATGGTTTGATCCTTTATTCTGCTGGCTTTCATCGCAAGCAGCACGCTGGTATTTGTGTACAGCTTAAGCTGGAAAAGGGTCAAACGGGCGGAACCTTTTTGTAAATTTGTGGTGGCCTTCAGTGTAACCACAGGACAAGGAGGCCACTAAGCGTAAACAGTGCGTAGCCAAGGAAGGGGGTTTGAAATTGTCAACAACAAAAAAACGTAACGCGATTTATGGATGGCCCCAATATTTGTGGGAAACTTACGCACGCTTAGTAGTTCATAGACAGTGTTCACGCTGCTGCGTGCATCGTTCACACACTCTCCACTGCTTAATATTGGTGACGATTATTACAATTTCTCGCGGCCGCCGCGGCGGTGAGGTCATCTGACGGCCGGACTGCTTGACATTAGTTCACCGTTCCTCCGCCAGGTCATCGTGGAGCCCGGCCAAGCGCCAGCTGCTCCGGCGGGTCCTGGCTGCTCTGGACGGTTACCAGCTGGCGCGACGGGCGGTAGCCGGCCGGCGCGGTGCGGCGTTCGTGGCGCGCGTGCACGCGGATCGGTGCGCGTCACGGGTGCGGCGCGCTCTGGCGGCGGCCGGCTGGCAGCGGCCGCTCTGCCAGTGGCTGCACGGCCTGCTGCTGCAAAAGCTGGGTCGCGACGCGCTGGCGCTCTACCTGGAGGTGGTGCAGGTGCGTGCGGCGCTCTCTCGCTCGTTCCGACGCTTAGCCGGCTGGCCAGGTGGAGGGCACGCCTTGTGACGGGGGGCCGGCTGGGGCTGCACTGGACCGCGTTCCTGGCCGTGGCTATTCCATGTGGTGTGCAGGCACCACACGTCCCATTACAACAACCCACTGTCGGGCCCTCCAGCGTCTGAGGGACGTCCCGGAGACGTGTGCGGGTGTCTGAAGACGTGCGCCGCGGCTGAGCGACACTGCCCCGTCTGTCGGCAGACGCTGACCAGCAAGACGCCATCGCTGGCGGCTCGGCTGACGTGGCCGGCCGGCCCCCGCCACGGCCCGCTCTCCGCCGAGACGCTGGCGCCGCTGCTGCGCCGGCCCTGGGAACCGGCCACCCACATCATCTCTCAGCACAAGCTGGTGCGTACCGAGCGGTGATCGGCGGCGGTCCGATAACCCAGCCGGCCAGGGAATCAGTAAGAACTCACCATTGCCTGTGGCAGTATGGATGGGACGCGTGGGATGGAACACAGGCATGGAACTTAGCGCTTCAATGGCTTCATTTGATAAAGTGTTTGAGTAATGAATGCAATATCATAAGATATGCAGTACTATGTCATCACATAGACGTTGCCCACCCTTAAAACCTCGGAATGTTTCACACCTATCTGGGCGGAATACACCAGAACAAAGTCAGAACTGTTCACGATCCTGCGTACTCGGCTGCGCCGTCTCCACCTCCGGCACCGTCCCTGGTGGCGCGCACGCGCCTGTCTGTAGCGCTCCGACCGGCGCCGCTGACCCGCCGGTGCCGTGCTGGTGCCGAGCAGCGGCGCCTTCCCAACAACCCGCTGCTGGTGCTGGTACCGTCGTCGCCGTGCCACGGCTCGGACGCCAGCCGGCTTGGCTTCGGCACCGGCCGGCTCGACTTCTGGCACCGCCAGCTCTCGGCGCTCGGCAAGGTGGTCGCCATCAGCGTGTTCGAGGGTGAGTGGCACGCGCCGACGGCCGCTCTGCGCCCTCTGCAGGGTCCGGTCGGTCGGCAGGCTCGCTGGCGACGAGCGGACCGGGCGTGCGTAGATGGTTGTTGCCGCTGCGCTCCGACATATACCGTTCGTTGACACAGCAGCCGGCTCTGCCCTGCAGGTGTTTCTGTAGTATCTGGCGATTTTGTTCGCGTGGTGTGTATGTGCGCCGGTACAGTCGTTGCGGTGTGGCGCGTAATGAGCTGTATATGACAGGCTACGCGTTTTATTATCATCCGTTGACCCGTGTCTGACCTCGGTTGAACTGCGACTGACGGGCTGGCCCGTCCGTGACTTCGTCTGACCCGTCCCTGACTTCGGCCGACCATGTCTAACCTCGGCTGACCTGCGCCCCGTCGGCAGGTGGCGCGCCGAGCCGCGGCATCACCGTTAGCGAGAGCCTGTCGCACATCATGGCCATGTGCCGGAGCCAGGTGGCCGAGCTGCGGCGGCCCGGCCGGCCGCTGGTCCTGCTCGGCTGGGGCGCCGCCGGTCTGGTGGCCGCCCACCTGGCGCTGGTCGAGCCCGTCAGCGCCGTGGTCGGGCTCGGCTTCCCGTACTGGTCGGCGGCCGGGCGGCGCGGCGAGCCGGACGACCCGCTGCTCGAGTCGCGCACGCCCACCCTGCTGCTGGTGGGCCAGTCGGCCAGCGACGCGGCGCCGCACGAGCTCGAGCTGATGCGCGACCGGATGCGTGCAGAGACTGGCCTGGTGGTGGTGGGCGGCGCCGACCGCCGCCTGCTGGTCAACCGGCACAAGCGGCAGCGCGAGGGCCTGACGCAGAGCATGGTGGACCGCGCAGTCATGGTGAGGGGGCGGGCGGCGGCGGCACGGGTCGACTCGGTGACGACACGCGAGGCGGGCCGTCAGTGGCCGTGACGTGCTGTGACCGTGCCGATAAGTTGTGTCGGCAGCCGGCTGTGTCGAGTGCTGTTCGGTTGGGATATGACGCCCTCCGGCTGGCTGCTCCTGTCAGTTACCGCTCACGCGCCGCGCCACTCGTCCCTCTGACGCGGCATGCGTGCGTCGGCCGGCAGGAGGAGGTCTCCGAGTTCCTGACCAACATCCTGACGCAGCAGCTGGACGGCACGCTGCCCGTGTTTCCGCGGCTGCCGACTCCGCCACTCTGCCGCGAAGACGCGGTGCTGAGGAACCTGGCGCGCGAGCGGCGGCGGCGGCCGGTCGGCCCGGCCAAACAGCGTGCCAGGCCGACCAGGAGCGGTACGGCCCCGCACCCCGGCTAGTAGCCGTCTGCCGCCAGTGTGGTCTGCCTGTCAGATTAGTGTTTGCCCGGACTCCCCTGGCGGCCGGAGACTGTCGAGACGGGCATCTTGTTATTTTCAAGGGATTGGGAATGCCCGGTGGTATGTAGTGTGGAACGCTTACCCGTGCGTTACGTGCGGTGTTGTGCTGATTAGCTTGTGGCGCGTCCGCGTCCGGCGGGCGGACGGCCGCTGCGCGCGTGCTCGGTCACCTCTTTGCTGACACGCGCCGTGTGTGTTTGGCTGACCACAGGGCGTCCGAGGGGCCGGCCGCGTGCCGCCACGCAGCGTCCAGAGCCGGGCGGCTCGCCGGCCGCCGACGACGACTCTCTCTCGGAGCCGCCCATCATCGACCTGATCCAGGAGGCGGACAGCGGCACGCCCGAGCCCGAGCCCGAGCCGGGGCCGGTGGCGCACGTGCCGTCCCCGCCGTCGGCGGCGTCCACTCCCAGCGCGCCGCCTGCGCCGCCGCCTCCTCCGCTGCCGCCTGCCCCCGCTGCGGCAGCCGCGACGCTGAAAATGATGACGACGCCGCCGTTTAAGGTGAGGAGATAGCCCACGCTCCAGTCGGTCGACGGCCGACCGGTAGCCAGTGTTGTGATCCTAACGAGACGCTTTTGGGAATACGGGCCGACTACAGGGGACATCTCGTAAAAGACAGACATCTCGATAGGGGATAGACAGATAGGGGACAGACCGACAGAGAGTAGTCGTAGGGGACAGACAGATAGGGAGCTGTTCGTTGGGAACGGACATCTCGTTAGAGGATAGGCAGAAGACAGCTCGCAGGGACGGACAGATGGTAAGCTTGACAGACAGCTTGTAAGGGACAGACACCTTTATAAATAACAGACAGATAGGGGACAGCTCGTATGGGAAAGACATCTCGATAGATGACAGGCAGCCAGTGGACAGCTCGCAGGAGATAGACATATCAATAGATGACAAATAGGCTGGGAACAGACAGGCAGGGTAAAGCAAGTAGGGGACAAACAGACATGGCGCAGCTCGTAGGGGACATATTTCTCGATGGATGACAAGACAGGCAGGGGTCAGCTCGCGGGGAACAGACATCTCGTTAGATGGCAGACACGCAGGGTACAGCTCGTAGGGGACAGCTGGCAGGGGACAGACAGGCATGACAAAGCTCGTATGGGACTGATTTCTCGATAGATGATAGACAGGTAGAGGACAGACAGGCAGGGGACAGCATGTAGGGGACAGACACCTAGATAGATGACAGACAGACAGGGGACAGCTCGTAAGGGACAGACATCTCGATAGATGACAGACAGACAGGGGACAGCTCGTGGGGGACAGACATCTCGATAGATGACAGACGGACAGGTGGACAGCTCGTAGGTAGCGAGCGTGAAGGGTATCGTCGAATGTGACGCCGAATACAGCTTGGTGCATGTGATTTAGGAACGCCAAACTGGGTCTTTTGTGACCTTTGTTCTAGCTTGTGTTTCCTAGACAGTCTCTGGTAGCCTCTTTGGACATCCAGACACTGCCTCTGGTGCCATTGTGAGCCCCAAACACGAATTCCACTGGGCGCCCTTGCTCCAGCGCGTGCCCTGTTGACCCCAGTTGAACTCCTATGACCTCCGTTGGCCGGTTTGCGCTGCCTCCGGTGACCTCTGCGTCTCCCAGATTGGGGTCGTGTTTGGGGGCGGCGGACGTCAAGAGGTGCCGTGGCCTGTGTTGATCTCCGCCACCCTCAGACACGGCCACTGCTGCCTTGCCTTGTCCCCAGACGCAGCTCCTGTTAACCTCTGCCGTCCCCAGCCGCAACCCCTGTAAATCTCAGCCGCCCCCAGCCGCGGACGCTGTTGACCTCTGCCGCCCCAGCCGCGGCCTCTGTTGACCTCCGCCGCCCCAGCCGCGGTCCCTGTTGACCTCTGCTGCTCCCAGCCGTGGCCTGTGTTGACCTCTGCTGCCCCAGCCGTGGCCTGTGTTGACCTCTGCCGTCCCCAGCAGCGGTCCCTGTTGACCTCTGCTGCCCCAGCCGTGGCCTGTGTTGACCTCCGCCGCCCCCAGTCGCGGTCCCTGTTGACCTCCGCCGCCCCCAGTCGCGGTCCCTGTTGACCTCTGCCGCCCCCAGCCGCGGTCCGCGGTGCCGAGCGCCGGTCTGTCCCGGCGGCAGCCGTCGCCGTCGCCCGAGCCGTTCCCGCTGCCGGCTGGCGTCCGCCCGGCGCCCGGCTGCCGGCTCCGGGTCACTCAGAGTCTGGACGGTGGCCGCTTCAGGCGCAGCCGAGGTACGCCGCCGTTCGCCGCCGTGGCTGGGAGAGGACGCCGCGCTTGACCGTTGTTTCCTTCACCATTTGGACTGCGGTTGGTGGGGGGGGGGGGGGGGGGGCAATGTCTGCGGCCCACGACTTATATTTGTGAATTGTTTCTTAACACGCCGTGGGCTTTGGCGAGTTGGCGAATCTTGTCGGCGTGGGAGAATGGATCACGGCCATGCCATTATGCTTGTGTTGGTGGGGATGCTGACCGTAATAGCCTCGCTTCTCGCTGTATCGTGTCTCACAGCGCTGGCCGGCGCTGGCCGGCCGCCGCGCCGGAGCGAGCGTCCAGTCGCAGTGTTCAGGGCCTCTGTTGGACGCGTGTGTGCGTGTGTGCGGCAGGCCGGGGCCGCGGCCGCAGCCGGGCCGCCCGGTACGGCGCGGCGCGAGACTTCGTCACCACGGCGTCGATGCTCGGCTCGTCGCGTTTCCTGACGCCGACCACTACGGCCGCCGCCCTCTCCAGTGCAGGTGGGCCCCGCCGCCCCGTGGCCTGGCGCCGCACGACGCCGGGCTCGGTACCCGTCATCATTTTGCCACTGCCAGCCCTCTGCTGACAAAGCATATGTAGTTTCGTGTCGAATCAGTTATATGTCTATGGTACGACGTGTATGTATGCAGTATCATGGCTCAGCTGCTGTCCTATGCTATGTAAGAGGTCGCTGGTCATGGCGGTGGTATTGACTTGAAACTTGGCTGTTGGCTAAGGCCGCTGTGCAGTCCAGGCGCGCCCAGCAGACGTGTGACTGACACTGCGCTCGGCAACTGCTGCAGCGAGCGAGGCGGGTGGTCAGCATCTGGTGTACGTGCAGCCGCCGGCGGTGTCGGCGCGGCCGCCGCCTCTGCCGTCGTCGCTGGAGCGGGAGCGGCTGATGACGCTGCCTAGCGGCCGCTCGCTGCTTTCCAGCCGCCAGCTGGTGGTGACGCGCGGCGGCTCGCGCACCGTCACATACGTGCCGACGCCGCGGCCCGGGGCCTCGGCGCCGCCGCCGCAGCAGCATCAGCAGCCGGCACCGCGGCCCGCCCCACCGCCGCAGCCGGTGCCGCGGCCGCCAGAGCACGAGTACGCGGCGGGCGCGCTGGCGGCGCGCGGCCGGGCGGCGGCCGGCGCGGCGCGCAGCCGTCTCCTGCGCACGGCAGTTTACAGTCGCCAGCAGCAGCCGCCAGGCCGTGGCCAGGAGCGAATCGAGTCGGCGGCGGACCGCGCCGGGCCCGGTGCGCGCCCCAGACAGGCGCCCATGGCCGGCGACGGGCCGGACCCGGCGCTGGGACCGGACTGACGAGCCCTGACGGGACGCCGTCGAGAGCGCTCGAGGCCCGCCATTAGGCCTACAGGCTGCAACGTACTCTGCCGAATTACGAGACGTGAGGACGCCGACGGGCTGGGACGTCGTCACGTGTAGAGCCAAAGAGTGATCTGTTGCCCAGCTTTGTCAGCCGGAGCGGCGACAGCAGGACGGGCTGTGGGGGGAACGCCTGTGACCTGCTGGTCCGACGGAGCCTTTGGTGCCGCTCAGAGCTCTGCCCAAACCCGGAACTGTGCCCTGACTCAGAGCTCTGCCCAAGCCCAGAGCTGTGCCCTGACTCAGAGCTCTGCCCAAGCCCAGAGCTGTGCCCTGACTCAGAGCTCTACCCAAACCCAGAGCTGTGCCCTGACTCAGAGCTCTGCCCAAACCCAGAGCTGTGCCCTGACTCAGAGCTCTACCCAAACCCAGAGCTGTGCCCTGACTCAGAGCTCTGCCCAAACCCAGAGCTGTGCCCTGACTCAGAGCTTGCCCCAGCCCAGGCTGGCCCTGACTCAGAGCTCTGCCCCAAGCCCAGAGCTGTGCCCCTGACTCAGAGCTCTGCCCAAACCCAGAGCTGTGCCCTGACTCAGAGCTCTGCCCAAACCCAGAGCTGTGCCCTGACTCAGAGCTCTGCCCAAGCCCAGAGCTGTGCCCTGACTCAGAGCTCTGCCCAAGCCCAGAGCTGTGCCCTGACTCAGAGCTCTGCCCAAGCCCAGAGCTGTGCCCTGACTCAGAGCTCTACCCAAACCCAGAGCTGTGCCCTGACTCAGAGCTCTGCCCAAACCCAGAGCTGTGCCCTGACTCAGAGCTCTGCCCAAACCCGGAACTGTGCTCTGACTCAGAGCTCTGCCCAAACCCAGAGCTGTGCCCTGACTCAGAGCTCTGCCCAAACCCAGAGCTGTGCCCTGACTCAGAGCTCTGCCCAAACCCAGAGCTGTGCCCTGACTCAGAGCTCTACCCAAACCCAGAGCTGTGCCCTGACTCAGAACTCTACCCAAACCCAGAGCTGTGCCCTGACTCGGAGTTCTGCCCAGTCTGCCAGTCCAGATCAGCGATACCCCATCGGATCCTCCGAAGTGATCGTTGTGTGTTAAATACAGGTGACAGATCTTCTGACGGTGGTTTTGAATCGGCGTGTATGACATACCCGGCCTTTCGGCACCACGCCCGTAGTATTTCGTCTCGTAAGTGGCAATCCATAGCCCAGGCCAGTTTTATAAAGAGAAGTTACTACTTCTGGCTGGGCGAAGCGGTTTTGGTGCAACTTCCCATTGCCTACGCCGGTGTCTAGTTTGTATCATGCCAGAGTTGTCTGTCATGCGACAAGGTAAAAACCAGCAAGTTTTATTTCGTTTGCAAGCAAACATTCTATAGCAATTTAAATGTGCGTGATCACAGTGTGCATGAGATGCGCAGTGTGATCACGTGATCTGGATGCAAAAAAATGTGAGTAGCCATTGTGGGCTGGTTTCGGGCACACGAAGCTATTACTCTTCTGTCATTCAGCTGCTGTTTACACCTCTTCAGCAGTCATTGTACTTCTGTGCAGCTACAAGGCAATTCATCTCTCCATTTGGCATCAGCTTGGCCCACGCCACAGTAATGTTATGTAACCAAAACACTCGCCAGCTGCTGAGTGTCGGCACGGTGAGGCGATACGGTGGTTGTTTGTCGAACACAGGATGTGGAAGTCGCGCCATCAGAGTTAAAATCAATATAAAAGTAGGTACCGGAATCGCAGCCGTTTTCCACCGTAGGCTGCTCCAGTCTAGAGATGTCGTACACCTCCACCTTTGGCTTTATGCAGTCTCCTCCATGATCACGACTGTTCTTTTCGACGATGCAGAGCATATTATGTTAATTCAGTTTCGAACTGAGGTTGTGCACCACGCTCAAATCAGATGCGCTATGTAACCCAGCGGATGCTTGCCGAAGTGTGCGGTAACTTCCTACTTCAATTATTTCTCTAAAAGTAGAGTTT